ACTGCCACACAGCAAGTGTTGTAGGGATCGATGACCGATCGTATACAACTGTACAATCAAACACAAAGTCATTAGGATTGTCATCATCTTGTTCTTCTTTGTTTCCACCTTCGAATGTTTTACGTTGTGTATTAAAACCAATCAAATTCAATTTGATTAAACTGACAAAGTGATCAAAATTGTCGGGTGGTAATGTAACATTCGCTTTCAGAACCGATTTTGATTTCGTAGTTGCATATAATTAATGTTATAATAGCTACCAAGTAGATATATACGCTTGGGAATTGCTTGTGGGTCCATCTGACAAAGAGCATCGATCATTGAACATGCAGCATCTGCATTGAAGTTGATCGGATCAACATGATATATGAATATACCACTTTCCAGTTCAATTCATGCCGTGATACACGATGAAACGCCTGTCGTACATAAAACCATTGGATCAATCAAGAAATCACCGATTTCAACGTTTTAAATATGTTCCATGAGTTGTTATCTTTTCGAAAAATGGGCTATGTCTGATCTTTTCAACTTTGTTTCTCTTCTCTGTCCTTCTTTCTCCATAGCCGCAGTCTATCGTTTCTTTTTATTTACATCTATGTATACGCATCTGTCGATTCTGTCTAAGGAATCAACAAATAGAGACGCCTTTTCTTTCCATTCAAACATTCTCTTCTACACATTTACAAGAAACAATGATTCAAACATAGACACTTTGCGACTAATTTTCTACTCGATACATTATGTTTACCTTAGAAAAAAAACAATTGGTAGACTATCCTAGTTGTGTTCGAATGGTGAACTGCATTTAACTGTTGTCACTCGTATGCTGTGTATGAGCATACTGGTATCGTTGTTCATAGTGTCGATGACATTAATATGACATCGTTTAGCAGTCAAATGTTTCAGATTAGGGATAAGACAAAGAACACGGTGTAGAGTAGGAAAATCGATAGAACAAATCACATTTCCAAGACAAAGTTCAATGACAGTTGGTAATGTCAGAGTTGTGTTTTGAATTAGATCATCACTGAAATGACAATAGTTTTTAAACTGAAGATGACGTAGACAAGGACATATCTGCTGAATGAATGTGAATAGAACAAGGCTGAACTTGGCGCGAGAATCAAGACTAATCATAACAACAGATGGAAGTGATAAGATGGCATTAGATTTTCGGTAATTGCAATGAAAGTCGACAAAACCGTTGCGTACATGTTCCAATCGATCAAAAGCAAATGGGAGTGTGAATCGTGTATGAAACTGACGCCGATGTAATATGGAAATGACTTGTTTTTTCGTCCAATTGTCAAATGTTTGACGACGATCTATTTCAACATTCATAAATCCGCTGTGGACACAAAAGTCGATTCGTTTCAAATGCGTCAGATGAGTTAGTAAATCCTGCTCGAGTGAGTGTGGTGTCGACATGAGAAAACGTTGACGTGTGCTGATGTAAAATGACAGATGCTCGAGCGATAAAGAAAAGCGTTTCACGAAAGCGCAAAAACTCGTTGTATCCATTAGCTGATCATGGGTGACGAAACGCAATGATCTGACTTTTGCTGGCCATGCTCGTCGTTGCAAAAACTGTGGCGAAAAAGTCGAAGATCGATTATAAACATTATGTAAGCGAAGTTCGAAATGTTCAAGAGCATAGGTACAAACGGCATCAAAACAATGGCGAAACAAATGTGACCTAAGTCGAGTGATAAATGAGTGAGATTTCGATTGATCATGAGGGAGTACGATGATGTTGGGAAAAGGTCATCCTTATCCAGTATGAAGCAATTTGAGGAAGATAAACTTTCTAGGTAGTTGTCTGGATGCCATAGAAATGAGGCCAACCCTTCAAGTCGTTGAGGTTGCTCTGAAGTCAAAGTAATTGAAAGTACTTTAAGTCGAGTGAATGCGACCATTTGAGACACTTTTTGAGAGGCTGTTGTCAACTGAAGATCGAGACGATTGAGGCTGGAAAATATAGCGAAATGCTGATCATTGAGATGATCGGCATTGATTCGAAACGATGAAATTGTTAAATAAGGTAGCCACCTATCAATCGAAACAACAGACGTATCAATAGTTGAGAAGTCAACATGACGAATGTATGCACAAAGAAGAGCATTCAAACGACGATTGTACAATTGACCAAACGCATGTAACAGGTCTGTTGAATGGAGATAGATGAATATATGATAGAGTAGCAGCTCATTCGGCAACGAAAGTAAGCCTGTTGGTTCTAGAAAGCGAAAACATGGAACTCCACGATCAGATCAATTTTGACGAATGGACACTTACTATCGTTTATCATTTTTGCCGTATGACTTCTTCACCTCGCGCATGTTCAGCAATATAATTCATTCTTTAGTCTCTTTGTGTCCCATTGGTCATTACTCATGAATAGTCAATAAAATTGAACAATGAGCCATCATAGAGGTCGTTCTATTATCTGGAGGAATAAGATTTCGGTCTCTTCAATGACATCATCTAATCTAAAGAATTGATCAGTGCAAACAATATTTACACAATCAATATATCAATAGAAATGCTAATCCGAAGACTAGACAACTTGACTCGTAGGAACAGAAGATCGGTTCTCCTCGAAATGGATTCTGTTGATTGAAGGATAAAACCGAAATACAAAGGTCACCTATTTCGATGCGTTGTCAACCTGAGGAAAAAAATTTCCTCTATTTTGTTGGTTTTTCGTCTTGTCAAGACGGGCATGAGATCTGTGAAGAAATTCTTCTCTTTCAAACCTAATTTCTAACATTATACATTTGGATTTTGATCAATTGAATGAACTCAAAATCTATTCATTGCAAATGATCCGATCTCGGGTATGTGTGTTCTCTGCATTCTTCTTTTCGTAATTTCATCAATTATTGTTCTTGCTTTAGTCCAACTCTCTCTATCAACAAGAGAGATTTCAACAAGTTAGAAGATCGGAAATTGAAAAGAAAGAACTCTTCGATTTGATTTGATGCTATNACATTATACATTTGGATTTTGATCAATTGAATGAACTCAAAATCTATTCATTGCAAATGATCCGATCTCGGGTATGTGTGTTCTCTGCATTCTTCTTTTCGTAATTTCATCAATTATTGTTCTTGCTTTAGTCCAACTCTCTCTATCAACAAGAGAGATTTCAACAAGTTAGAAGATCGGAAATTGAAAAGAAAGAACTCTTCGATTTGATTTGATGCTATCTGGATGTTCACTCACTTTTCTTCAATAATGAAATTAGATGCTCAAGCACTGAAGAAGATGAACTATGAGGTAAAGAGGATTCTCAATTCGACGAGGAAATCATTGGTGGATGAGAAAAACTTTGAATTTACAAAAAGGTGCAGTTAATATCATCAGTGGTACAGCTGTAGATGGAAATAGAGAATGGAAACAACGAGTATTGGTAGGATTTGAAAAATGAAAGAAAAGCTTTCAGATTAGAATGAATTTTATTCTCATAAAGTTCGTCAGTTGACAATGTCGTGCAACAGTGAAAGTGTATTGTAACTTCTTTTTTGATAACAAAGTTTATTCAAAATGGAACAACTCTGTTTTCGTGAAAACAATCACAAAGTGTGTTATTGTTGTTTAAATGTGGATGGGAGATGTTTGTGGAATCTTAAGAGATCCCTTCACAGTTAGACTTATTAACATTATTACTTTTGTACCTAAATTAATCGTGAGATATACAATCAGAATCTACAAGGAGTTCTAATTTCAAGGAGAAAAAGCTTCGATAAAACTTCAGCAGATTTGACTTTGATATCATATCGATTTCCTATCAAGTGTGATACTAATACAAGTTTTTATGTACGAAGCTAACAGTTCGCTTATTCGACATTAGCTAGAAATCGAAAAAATATTCATGCCTACATACAATCCTTTCACTAATTCATAAACTTCGATCAGATGCGTAAACTAGATCACTGAGATACAGTTTATGAAGCAAACGAGAATATGTAAATGTAGTCAACATAATAACTATTGCATGTTGGTGTAGGCTCGGAGACCGTTGATGTCGTAGACGAAATCGATGTTGTACTACTCAGAAAAACTGTAAGCTTCTCGAAACGTTACTTTCTGTTGTACTGCAAAAAATTGCAATTGACAGTGATGCTAAGATTGTTCGTTTATTTGCAATGTATTTTATATATAATAATGATTGATTGCCAACATCCTTTTCACGGGAGATTAATTTTATCGAACTGTTTGCTTGTGGAACAAGAACTCGATCATCTAGTATAGCCACATAAATGTACAATCGGATGGACATTCTGTGGGATTTCCACCCTCATCCTCAAGTACTTTTATATTTTGTCAAATCTGGATATCATTTTCTCTGGCTGCACAAACTCAAATCCAGAAAGATTTGTTTCTTCTTGCTTGTTAAAACAGATTATTTGAGTTTTGTGGCGTCGATTCATTCAGCTTCTATTTTATACGTAAGAAACTGCGATAGACATTGCTATTTTAATCTAAGTTTAATCTTCTTTTCCTTCACAGAAGAACATGTTTTGTACTTTTCAGTTCATCAACTCTTTATGTCCTCGTGACTTTTTTCATTTCTCGTAATGTAGTTCATAGCTAAATACTTAATTACTTAGAGAACAACATCTATCTATATCCAAGGAGTAACTACAACCATCAAATAATTTGCTTTAAACTTTACAAAAACAAGATATTGCTGAAGTTTGAAGGATCGATGAAGAAAATCGGGTCAGACTCGTCCATTTTATTTCAAAATGCAACGATTGCTTGATCTGTCAAAGAAACCATCATTAGATCAAGATAAATTATCACTCTGGGCCTCCATGTTTTGTATTTCGCGAAACCAACCCTTATCTCTTTACTTTTCGCATTGTTTGAGCCAGTCACTGGATCAATTCATCTAAAAGAAAAACTTCTATTTGCTCTTCGAGATATTCTTTATCATCATGTTAGATAACTTCACATGATATATATAGCTGTCTGCTTTGTCTTCTCTATTTCATTGAGAGAAACTTAGTAGTCCAAAAAGTAGAGGCGAAAGTGTCGATAAGCAATACATTGTATATTCTTTTCGTAGAAACTATGTGTTCACAGTCGACAAGTGCTCGAAAAAGCAAATCACCATTGAAGGTATCAAAAGTGGAATGACTTTGTTTGTCTGTCGAACTAAGATAGAAATTTCCTTTCCAGCTTCCAGTGAACCTGGAGCATGTTCTTGGCTTTACATCCGTTTCTAACGCATTTGTTGCGCAAAATCAGTCAATGATAGCTTATGCTGCTGGGTGAAGACATTTCTACGGCGTATAACTCAATTTGTTTCGTATGAAAATATCATTTTCAGTTCGACGATTGTCCTTTACGACAAAGATACATTCAAACAAGATTTCGTCATCAACAAGACCTGTAGAACTATAACATGCATGTCACTTTCATCCGATGGTCGATATTTAGCAACAGGCGAAGTAAATACGCTCGATTTTGATCCATAAAATTCTTATTGATATTGTTAGAGCGGCCATGATCCTAAAATACGCATTTGGGATCTAACTAGCGATAGAAAAAAATGCATTGAACTAGGCGATCATCAATTTGCTATCGATTCAATTGTATGTAAAACTCGATTATTGTTCAAATCATGTTAAACTTTCATGATTCACTTGTTTAGTGCTTTCTGAAAAAGACTAGTTGTTTCATTTCAATCGGTTCGATACACGATGGAAAGATATGCGTATGGGATTTTCGACGTAAAATAAAAGTGGCTTCAAACAAATGTCTAGTTTCTGTAAACGATGATTCTTGTTATAATTGATTTATCTTTCAATATTACGTTTGCGATTATAGATCCGCCGTGTGGTGTGTGCAGAAGACGGGAGCCGCTTTGTCACAGTTGGTGAACGTCATGTTAAATTCTGGAATTTTACTCCAAAATCAATGGTATGAACCTTTTCTCTTTGACGAAATTTTCCGAAAGAACATTGTGGCTGTAATAGGCGTATAATGTACTACTATTAACCGGACATGATCCAATCTTAGATCAACTAAAAAATAATTGTTTTATTGACGTTGTTTGTGGCAGCGGTAGCTATGTTGATTTTACATGGGCCTTAAGTTCTACCGGTCTTCTATGCCAATTTAATAAAGAACGAAAATTACTTGTCCACAAAGATTTACAAGTAAAAGGCGGTTTTCAAACTAATAGAACTCGCGGTTTATTTAGATAAAATCGAATTGCTTAGCTATTGGTGACTCAAATCTTTTTGTCGGATGTAATGACGGCGTGGTTCACGTACTTTTATCTCAAACTCTTGAACATATCACAATATCTATACCGTTGCCGCATTGTTTGGGTGTTGATATTGATCTTCTCACATCAACTAAGTAAAAGGATTTACTTTGCGTTCTGTTGTGTTTCTATTTATGATCATTTATGTGGTAGTGGAATTTCCATTCCACAACAGTCAGCTATTTCTTTTCCAGATGTGATAGCTATTTGTGTAGATGAAGTAAAATCATCAGTAAGTCGTTCAATTTGTCGTTACATTATGTCGAATGAGTATTGTTATTCTAGTTAGCGTGCTTCTATAGCGACCATAGTTTTTATCTTTGGGATATAACAAATAAACAATCAGTAGGAAAACGTGACGTTCATATGTACCACTCTGGGCGTGGTTGGGCAATGGAAGTATAAAGAATTCACTTAATTTGCTGCGATTTTGCTTTTTTTGGTTTACTCTAGACACATTCTCGTCGAACTGACCAGTTAGCATTAATTACAACTTCATCGGATAATACCGTGCGATGTTGGTCATTGAATGAAGAGAAAACTGATGTGTATTCTGCTTCATCACAAAGTGACAATAAAATTAGTGAGCAGTTAATGAAGATGATCTATATACCATCAGATTCGAAAGAAAAAGGCGGTGGTCGTTGCATGAAAATCTCCCCTGACAGTTTATCGCTAGCTGTTGGTGGTCATGATGGAAATATATATATACTTGACATGCAAACATTCAAACAAACATTATGTATCGAAGCGCACGACAGTGAAGTACTTAGCGTTGATATTGGTCGATCGATTGATTTGAGTTAGTTTAATAAATGAGGTTTGATTAAAATTATTTTCAATTATAGATGTTACTCTTCTGGTATCAAGTAGTCGCGATCGTTTAATTCACGTATTCGACGCATCAAATAATTATCAACTAATTACAACACTCGCTGATCACACAGGAGTTGTAACTGCTGTTCGTTTTATATGTTCAAATCTGAAATTTGGATTGATCTCCTGTAGTGCTGATAAATCATTGATATTTCGATCAATATCGCGAGTAGATATGTGTATAGAAGGATTTTATCGTCTCGTTAGCGATCTTTTCTTTAGAATGAAGACGGTAAATATGAATTCAGCCGTTTACGTACAGTTTTCGAACATCAAAGACTTTCTGACTTGGTTGTCGATTATACAAACAGACACATACATACAACTTGTTGGGATCGAATTATTAAGTGAGTATCATTCCCTGGTAACGCATTTAGTGCGATTTCTAATCTTTTAGAGTATACGATATTGACGAATGTAAACACATTTTGACATGGAAGGATCCAACCGAGCATCATAGCGGCTCCTTGATCAAAATTGATATTGATGTATCGGGAAGATATTTAGCGACATCTTGCTCAGATAAAAAAGTTTATCTTTGGGACACGAAAGCATCCAAACACATTGTATCCTTATGTGGGCATTCAGAAATTGTTACTGACGTCAAATTTAGTCATGATGGACGTCGTTTGTATACAATATCAGGCGACAGGTATGACTGATCTTAAGATTCATTTTTGTTTTCAACTGAAAATTATAGCTGTGTGTTTGTGTGGAAACTGGAGATAGAAGATTGTGCATCGTCAAAATGTCGATCAATATCGAACAGGGATGAGCAACAAACGTAAATAATATTTTCTAAAACTTCTTCAATCAAATTTTCTTTTGTTTAGGATTGAAGTCTTTAAAACAACACCACAGGTTGCAAATTTGAAAGTTTGCTTGTAATCAATAGCACATTGTAGCTTTGATTAGGTAGTAAGTGTTACTGAGCTCTGCCAAGCAAATGAAGACAATCAGCAAAGTTTATCATCATCTCCTGAACTTCCTTCAATAGTTCGTATTCATTTGAAAGAGCACTTTGTCTGAACAGTAGATGATCGCCATATTTTTAGGGTAGCGAACTTGAATTGATTAACTCACAAACAACAGATGCTGATAATGAAGAGTAAATATAAAGCTTTTGTTTATTTATAACGAATATGAAACAAACTGTTTAGAACATTTAACATCCCGATTGCTCCAAGAGAAAATAAATCAGTTATCTCTGACGAAGGTTTTTATTTTGATTAGCATAAACAAAGAAGAGAGTTTATTGATGTAGATGATGATACAAAACCAAATGATACAGCTCGTGAGACTGAAAGAACGAGTTCGTTTTTCAATGAAAACTATAATCCTGAAAGCTCACTCATCAATTCATTGCATTGCAATGAATATTCAGCATGTCGTAGATTTCGACGACAAAACAGCATCTCAACAGCGTTTTATCAGTCGTTGGAACAAATTGGGTAAGTAATAAGGCAATAAAGATAATTATTCTTATTCACCGATGCTTTGTAAGTTCGTCAAATAAATTGTCAATCGAAATGAACCCGACAGAAAATGAGCCATTCATGTCTATGCGATCAAGTGAAAGTGCAAACTGTGAAGCAGTCGTTGGTGACGATGAAAAAACACGGAAAGAATGTTGTCCGTCACTCACTTCTCCATTGAATAATATCACACAAAATGATATACCATCCTATACAGAACAAGGTTCCGATATCGATATGCAGCATGAACAAGTTGATCCATTAACTTTAGTAACTGAACCGACAATCAACGACGCGAAAAACGAGTAAACTTCGATATCAATCACTAGGAATACATGATGTACAGAAGGAATGTTGTGTACTTTTCTAATGAGTAGATTTAGATTATCATTTATTTCAGTTGTTAGATTCTAATGTATGAGAAAGACTGAGTTAGATGACATAATAGTTGCAGCAAGGATCTATGAGATAATGGACTAGATTAGTTGAGATATTCATCAATACTCATCTATTTTCCAGTGATCCAATCAATCGTGATCGTATGTCGGTTGCCAACGATCTTGCTAAGGAAATCTTTGAATGTCTGAATAAATTAGATAATCTGTATGAAATGGTAAAGAAATGTTTTACAATACTTTCATGCTAATATTTAATTTCATTCATACAGGTTGCAGAAAGCTTAGACTTGCAAGATGCGACAGTCAAGGAATCAATTGAAAGAACATATTCTGGTCTCTATCAACATATTGCAAATTATCGACAAGAGTCAAATCAACAGAGTTAATTCCGTTCACATTCTTTATGTCTATAAATGATTTATCTAATTCAAATAAAATGATCCCGGTAATCTAGTCGATATCCAGTGACGTGTGTAAGCCTTGCGAGAGCAAATTGAAGAATTTGTAATACAAGAAAAAGATTGAAAAAAATTCATTTATTTAAAGATTAAAGAATTATTAAGATTCATTGATGATTCCATAACTACACTAGAGTGATGTCAAATTCAGATCAGTTGTTGAAAAAGCAGATCATGTTTACTTTTTCAAAGTGTAAACTTCGATGTCATTGACAGTAAAGCGCGTAGTTCCGGTAAATGTTCTATCGCCAAAGTTTGTTGTATCATTATACGAGCACGGGAATCGGAAGCTACTGGTACTACGTTTATCAGCGTTGGCTGCGATGAAAATGTCCCCACGACGAGTCCGAAGACGCCATCAAAAACTTCGACAAAATTGAAAACACCAAGACCTTCGCCACCAAAACCAAACAAATAATAATCATAATCTTCATTCAGATAGCCTCCTCCCGCATGGTACACAGCAGTGTCGCTCTTCAATCTGATTATCTCATATTTCGTTGGTGCGATATTGTGCGGATTCGTTAAATTTGATTCGTACAATATTACAAGGAAATGCTTTGTTTAGCCGAATACCGTTCAATTGGTAAATTATAATAAACGAAACAAGTCAAGGGAAAAATGCAACATTTCGTACTGAACCTGTTTACTATTTCAATGGCGAACAAAATACCAATTGCACATGTGCTGCTCACCATACTTGTACTATGCCAGCAACCATGTATAACGGCTCGTTATCTAAGCCGTTGAGAGGTTTCAAACTAGGCTGTTATTCACTTGAAACAGTACTCCTATCATCATTATCGTGTTTTTATTTCAGAACATGTATTGATGACTACCGATATTATACATTCATGTATCTTGCTGATCTGAACCTGATTTTTAATGGTACAAATGAAGTTATTCAATTGAACTCTTCATTGACACGATTCAACATCAATGACACAATCGAAACGATGGCCCATGAACTGTTTATCGAATCATGGATAAGTAATGTTTCGTATGAAGCATTTTTCAACAGCTGTGCTCCCAGTTCTTGCACTTATAAACACTATTATCGATTTGATATACTCGAATTGTTAGCAGTGTTCCTAAGTGTGTACACTGGCTTATCTACTGTTATTCGATTCATCGTACCATATTTTGTTTCAATGATTAAAAAATATCCGTCGTCGTATTTGTACATAAAGCTCTTCTATTTGCTGCTGGTTTTCCTTTTATAGAATGTAATTGCATGAGATTGAGCAATTCATTTTTATATTTGCGTATAAAACTAACGATTGAAATTTAATAAAACATATTCTTTCAGTGTTGTGTTGATCTTTTTTTCTCTACTGAGTTTGATTGAAGTAAGTGCCCTTAAATGACATTGAAAACATGTTTAAATACAGACTCATCTTACGAAGAAATAAAGTGTGTTGATTGTTTGTCAATCAGTGTTTGACCAATAGTTAAATTCTTTGCCAAAGTTACACGTAGTTATCCACAATCGATATCTCAGTGATAACTGTTATTGAAAAACGATTTTTATTATTCTGTTCGACCTTTTAGAGTTTATTCTATATTGTTCGATAGTCAACAGGTGTCAGCATTATACTATAGAGATGAGTAAGAACAAACGACCTTGTGCATCGACTGTCGACGATAAAAAGAAAAAGAAATCCAGACAAAACTATCCCGTCACTCGCTTCGAACATTTGGCAAATGAACTCATCTACGAAATCTTCGATTATCTCGACGTTCATGACCTTCATCAATCTTTCTTTTCACTCAATGCACGCCTCCGACATCTCTGTCTACATGCAAATCTTTCTCTTCGANTTTTCATAAAAAGATTTTTTTTGAGACAAAGGACCAACTTTTTTTATAAAGACTGACGAAAGGGTTTTAAAGGTCGAGGAATCCAAATCTGATGTTAGTTACTCGAAATTTTTTGTGGATGATTTTTTTTTAGACAAAGGACATTTTTTTCGGAAAAAGTGCTTTTGGTGAAGTTTGACCGAAGGGTTTTCGAAGCCGAGAATCACGAATCTCAAATCAGGTTTTACATATTATATAAACAGAAACTTCAGTGATATTATAGAGGATGATTTCTACGAGAAAGAGCTGAGCGAGTCCACAGACGAGCGTTACTTGTGAGGTAAAGAGGATTCTCAATTTGACGAGGAAATCATTGGTGGATGAGCAAAACTTTGAATTTACAAAAAGGTGCAGTTAATATCATCAGTGGTACAGCTGTAGATGGAAATAGAGAATGGAAACAACGAGTATTGGGAGGATTTGAAAAATGAAGGAAAAACTTTTAGATTAGAATGAATTTTATTCCCACAAAGTTCGTCAGTTGACAATGTCGTGCAACAGTGAAAGTGTATTGTAACTTTTTTCTTGATAACAAAGTCTATTCAAAATGGAACAACTCTGTTTTCGTGAAAACAATCACAAAGTGTGTTATTGTTGTTTAAATGTGGATGGGAAATGTTTGTGGAATCTTAAGAGATCCCTTCACAGTTAGACTTATTAACATTATTACCTTTGTACCTAAATTAATCGTGAGATATACAATCAGAATCTACAAGGAGTTCTAATTACAAGGAGAAAAAGCTTCGATAAAACTTCAGCAGATTTTACTTTGATATCATATCGATTTCCTATCAAGTGTGACACTAATACAAGTTTTTTATGTACTAAGCAAATTGTTCGCTTATTCGACATTAGCTGAAAATCGAAAGAATATTCATGCCTACATACAATCCTTTCACTAATTCATAAACTTCGATCAGATGCGTAAACTAGATCACTGAGATACAGTTTATGAAGCAAACGAGAATATGTAAATGTAGTCAACATAATAACTATTGCATGTTGGTGTAGGCTCGGAGACCGTTGACGTCGTAGACGAAATCGATGTTGTACTACTCAGAAAAACTGTAAGCTTCTCGAAACGTTACTTTCTGTTGTATTGCAAAAAATTGTAATTGACAGTGATGCTAAGATTGTTCGTTTATTTGCAATGTATTTTATATATAATAATGTTCGATTGTCAACATCCTTTTCACGGGAGATTAATTTTATCGAACTGTTTGCTTGTGGGACAAGAACTCGATCATCTACATAAATGTACAATCGGATGGACATTCTATGGGATTTCCACCCTCATCCTCAAGTACTTTTATATTTTGTCAAATCCGGATATCATTTTCTCTGGCTGCACAAACTCAAATCCAGAAAGATTTGTTTCTTCTTTCTTGTTAAAACAGATTATTTGAATTTTGCGGAGTCGATTCATTCAGCTTCTATTTTATACGTAAGAAACTGCGATAGACATTCCTATTTTAATGAATGAATTGTTTTCGAATATTCCCAGTTTCAAATCAAAACTGTTTCTTGATTTATTCAATGTATGTTCAATGCATCAAATTGAAATGTGAATGTTTATGATGTGAAATAGAAAATACAAAGAAAATAAATAAATGTCGAAACAATATCTAGTATCTGTGTTGTATGTCTTTCACTTTCTTCAGATAATCCAATGTGGTTTTGACATCGTCATGATCTTCGTTGAAATTTTGTCGGAATATTGTTAAAGCCTTGCGGAAATAATCTTCTGCTATACGATAGGTTTTAAAATGCATATGAACTAAACCAGCCTGTCGACGTAATTCACCAACTTGAGGTTGCTCATGTACATATATTTTCATTTGTACTTTTTCTGCAAGAGATAAATAATCGAACGCATCGAAGTGATCTTCTTTATGTTTCGCTGTTTCAACAAGATATTTTAAACAGTCTAAAATCGACTCGTACTCAGATTTTTGATGTTTCTGCAATATCTGTACTGCTTCTCGAAACAATTTTAATGCGTCATCGTAATCACCACGTTTAAATGCAATATAACCCTTCAACTTGCACATTTTGCCAATACTTGGATGATCTGTTTCTAACTGTAGCAGAAAATAATTTAATTTTGTTTCACAGAATTCGAATGCCGTGCGAAAATTTTCTTTTGCAATATAAGTATCGACAATTGCCGACAAAAGCTTAATTATTTGATCGTGACCACACGGTAATGTCGTTTCGTAGATCTGAAGTGCTTGTTCGAAGTTGGCAAGTGCGAGTCTGTAATCAGGTCTTTTTATATAGACTAAACCAATACTCCACAATGTACTGGCGATTGTCGAATGTTGTTCAACAGGAAGTAGCAGACGTTTTTGCATTTTGAGAGCTTTATCGAAGTAAAACAAAGCTTTAGCTAAATCATTATTGGCTTCGTAGTTTTTTCCCAAGTAAATCATGTCTTTGGCGATTAATATGTTTTCTTGTCGAAATAATTTCTGATCAATTGCAAGAGCTTGTTCGTTGTATTCAATCGCTTTTTTCAGATCGGAAATGGAAGAACAGACTGCAGCTAAATCGTTCAGAGATCGAGCAATAAGCATATCATCGGGTGGTAACAAATCTCGTCGAATTGTGTATGCACGATTGAATGCTTCCTCAGCTTTTTTATATTGAGATTTTCGAAGATGAAGGTTTCCACTTGCAACAAGAAATGCCGCATTTTCTAAAGTATTTTCTGCTAGTATCGATAACTTTCGTTTGATAAACAATTCAGCCTTCCCTAGTTCATCCATAGTAATGAGGAGACTGGCAAACATGGCATCTGTACTTAGATGCTGGTATTCGTTCTTGACGGCATCAATATACTTCCGGGTTTTGAGCGAACTTGCGCTTGCTGTAACCATTTTCACAACCCAGACATTCAAATTCTTGTCATCGAAATAAACTTCCTTGATTTGAAAAACCGATGACAGAGTAAATAAGACTTCACGTTCACTATTCAATTGACTCAGATGTTTAATATCAGCAAATATGACAGATTTAACTGATGGATCATTAGTAATTTCAAATAATACACATTGAATAGGACTTATTTTGCAAAGTCCGCCTTTTAAAAAGAGCGTAGCAGCTCTTATACTGCGAGAGGTCGATAAAAATCCATTCGTAGATATGAATGAGCCGATATTTTGTTTCAATTTGTCAATTTCCGATTTAGCCATTCGCTGTCCACGGTATAATTTTATTGATCGGCTGCTTTTTAATCTTTCTTGTTGCAATTGTTGACACATATCACTGATAAAAAAGCGAAAGGAATACAGATAATCGATGTTCTCCGTTCGAAGTGCTTCGTTGAGAATACGATAACAAAAACTGTCTTTTGTATACCAATTTATAGCATTTCTTCTCGGTTCATAAGTGTTAGAAAATGTTTCAATTGCATTTAATTGCGTTTGATTGGTCTTGTAGACTTGTTTACAAACATCCAACATTTCGTTCATAGCGTTCGTTCTGTCATCTACGGAATGTGTTAAAACCTCAAGTAGTAACTGTGTCCATAAGAACGAAGGAAATTCTGTCTTGAAATTTCTTGTTGATTTTTGATTTTCATCGAAAAGAGAAAATGATGCTTGTTCAATTTCAAGACGTGTGTAAACATTAACTAGTTCTACGAGAGATTCTTGTTGAACCGGAATCGTTACAACTGCAGTTGTGGAATACTTCTGATTTAGACGTTCTTCACATTGATCATCGTTGGAAATAACAAAAAAGCACAGGACATTTACAAGCTCATCTGGTCTGCATAAAATACCATCAACGGAAGGTTCATCAGTAACAAAAAGTATCTTTGTTCTGCCAAGAGTCTTCATGTAATCCATGCATTCTTTCGAATCGACGAAAATTTTCGAATTTAGCTCAGCTTGCTGTAAATGATCACGCATCCTTCGATATTTATCATGATCTTCATTTGTTGTCGTGCTTAACCATATTAACGTTATATCATCAGAATAAGCCATATTCGACTGCTTGTTTGTGATGATATGCTAGAATATATATGAATATTTAACTTTCTCTCGCCCACGTGTCAAGCGAATATTGACAGACGTACGAAGAAACTGGTATCTGCCGAAAAGAAAAAGAAAAAAAAATGAAACAGCATCGTCAAATTTGTCTGACGAGATTTCACGTCAAAGAAAAGATTTTATTGCTCGAATTTTATTCATTATTTTTCTCAAAAAACAAGAAAAGCTTTCTGTCATTCAGTTCGGAAGCAGCAAATGTTCCATTTGAAAGTCTATTCAGAATAATTTTGTTGTAACAATTTGAAAATTGACTCTAAATTTCACAAAAAAAAAACTTTCCAGAATGTTCTTGAAAAGAATATTAATTCAACACATCAGAATGAAAAGTGTTGTGAGGTCTAACATCAAATACACACACATAAATTAATGCTCAATGTCTGGTTTGAGTTATTTGGAAGTGATTTGCTTGTGGGTCGCGTTCCGGAACGACTCGTACACGTCGTAGTATATGTTTATAGTAGAAATTGACAAGTAAATTAATAAATTCTTTACGAAATCCCTTCGATATTAAGAAGAACAAGTAGAAAGGAGCAATACCAACGAAATAAATCATAAACTGAGCGATAAAGGTGATAAATGATTCAATTTCGAGACGTTGGGTACTTTTATTCGTAACAAAATATGTCAATGCACCATACAAAAGATTTGCAGAATATGGAATTGCTGTGAGAACGTTCACTATCACTTCAACAATAACCAAACGTGTCAGTTGTTGATCACTCTGTTTGACACGTATTTGATTCGTATGATGTCGTTCATGAAGACTAATAATGGTAAGAATGCTGAAAACACTCATGAAAATTGGTGGTAGAAGACCCGAAACGATAATTTGATAAATCGCATATATTAGTTTATATATACCAAACATATCACAGACACCGTTTCTCAAGTCCATTAGAATGGGCAAACAATGAACATAGTCGAAAGAAGTTTAATAGCTGTTTTGATCGAACTTAATGAACGAAGATGAACATTCGTTCGAGTAATGAAATATCGATCGGCACAAGCGAATACGACTGAATAACGGAGGTACAAATTGAGAACATGACTAACATAGAGTCGCATTTTACAATAGATCATCGATTGTGTTTGAGAATCGCCATATATGATGAGACTTCTAAGCAAAGTCGAAACTGGTAATGGCTCCTTTTACTAATTCTAACACCCTTATGCGCTTATCATAAAGATTCACATAGTTTGGGGAAATGAAGTTTCTAAAAGTTTCACTTCTATGCCATTCGATCACCAATCCATCAAGGTGTCTGCTGTGAATATTTTGTGCTCAAAAGGGTGAACAAAACTCCATAAAGCGTCGTCTTATTCTTTGGTCATGATACACTATGCCATGTATCACAACAGGTATTCACAGAGAGAGAAAAAACAGCGTCGTTGACGCATGTGATTTTGTTTTTCTTTCATAAAAAGTCGATATCCATGTACATAGCGTACTTGAATAGTAGCCTTTATTTGCGAAGTAAATATCTGATAAAAAAGTGGAGAATGGCGTATTTTATTGGATGTCGTTAGTGAGTTTTTTTGTAAAGTGCATAGAAAAGAACAAAAAGTCAATACACAGACATAGGAGCGCAGAATCGGCAAACATTATAATGACGTTTACAACACTTTGAGGTAAGCGTATCTCTTACACATTACTATGTAGCCCAGCAGAGCTCGAAATGGACCACATTTTCATAACCCTGCTCGACCCTAAGTGGTTCGGATATTGTTCGGCCTGATCCCAAAGAAGGTTTTAGTTATAAAGGCTGTGTTCCAATAGAATTTGAAGATTACTAAAAATATACTTGGGCGTGATACGACTTTTCTTCGTCCGCATTTTCGCGCGCGCTACTACCATACTGACATTAGCACAAGATGTGGATGTTGTCTTTTGAGTCACATTCGTGCATAGACGAGTGCGCATCTGGTTGAATCCCGATTCGAGTCCTATCCAGTTGAGATAGAATTACGATCTATGAATTTCTAGCTTATTAAGTCTAAATCCTGGCTTAGATCTGAAAACAAACTTAATGAAGCAACTGCGCGTTGCAATAGGGGTTGAAATCACGTTCAACAAACTGTGTCCAAGCAAGGGTGAAATGACGGATTTCGTATTTCACGGAAGTCAAGGATTTCCAAGGATTTTTTTTTTTGAATTGACAATCTCGAAAATCCGCTGTTTCCCACTTGATCCTTTTCCGTTCCTGGAACGGTAGCGGTGCGTCCCTAGCGGTCAATGATCGGAATGATTCTTCGTCGAGCACCTCAAATACACTGATTACCATGATTTTCATATTTTTTTGTCTTCACAAGTATGTCCGGGCAACTACTCGAGCTGAGTCTAAATAATATTTGAACTTTCATCCTTAGCGCCGCAGACACACGGTTATCGCATAGGTGTTCGAGGAGTCTGATGACTGGGATATGCACACGGACGCTGATGGTAAAACGTTGGAGCTTTGTTATCTAGAATTTTTTGCGCTAATTTTTAACCAAAAAGTTGTGCAAATGTCGTTAAAAAACCAGAATCGATGTCTACTCAGCAAGAAAGGAGGTCTACAGAACCCAAAAAAAGGTTCCTTAGATATCGAAAAGCTTCCGTTTGAGCCAAAACTTCCAAAAAACGAATAAAAATTTGTACAGAACCCCCTTCTACAGAACCTTTTTTGGTTCCGTACAGGAAAAAAAAGTTCCCGGAGCCCTCGCTCACATGATGTTTTTATATTAGAATACTTAGGCTCATGCCAGCCCCGCAAATTCATTACATTTCCTTTTTTGCCGATTCCCTTCTTTTTAGAGACATGTCGAAAGCTAGTCGGAGTACATCAACCCATGCCAAAGTGACGTATAGTAAGGCAGCCACTCGTGAGGGCGGGGTAGAAACAACAACAACACAAGTTCGGCAACCAGCTTCTTCTTCTTCTTCACGTCGTGGCTCAGGTTGTTCCAAAACGCGACGAAGCTTAAAATGGGCAGTTATCATTTGTGTTACACTCGGGCTTTTGATCATCGCAGCTGTTGCTAGTGTCATAATTTACTTTAAACTTGTGAAGAAATCTAGCGACCAGTCCATTTCGAACCAATTGGTAAAGCGGTGCGTCAGCGACACGAATACTTGCCCACAAGATCCACACTTTTTACACTGGTGCATGGGCGAACTTGTACAAACGAGCTGTACTGATGTAGTCGCTTCTTCATCAAAGCAATGCAAGTGCCAACCCTGCATCAACATATTGGACGGCTTTTTCTCAAATGAACAAGCTGTTAGAGCAATGCTGGACTCGCTGGAAGATATGGTTGATCAGCTGATAAAAACCGGCATAGACACACCTCTCACCTCTATCAAAGGATATCAACCAATAGCAGATCAAAATGCTTTAGCTATGGGTGAAAAATGCGCAAATGTTTCTTTCAACAGTGTCTCACGACGCTCCGAGAGAGCCTTGGACGCAGCCTGCGAAAATAGAATGGCTAGAGATTTAGCCCTTGTTGCAATTCATAAAGCAGTGGCTTGTGCCGTAATGACCGCTTGGTTATTTCCTGTGGCACCGGCTGCTTTTGCATCGTGCTTTTTACCTGGACTTTTTATTGATTTAATCGGGTAAGTTTTAGACTTTTTTCAACCGTTTGTTTTGCTGAACTTATGTCATACCCTACTCCTGTTAATAGGAAAGCAGTACCTGTTCTTATTGAGTGTTGGAAAGACTGTCCGCCACCTCCAAGTGATCTTCTGAGCATCCTGAAAGATTATTTCCAAGGCGTTGCACGCAAAGTGCCAGTTGAAATAGGCAAAAAAATTCCGGAAGGTTATTTCAAAGGCCTTGGCAAATTCGAAGGGGCTATGGCCGAAATATCTCTGAAAAGTCTTGCAAACTCTGTTGGCAAGATCGTTAGTGTCTTGGATACGGCTGAAGCTGTTAGAACAGCTTTGATGACGGATTGTAAGAAAACAACAACAACACCAACAGGAACAAACTATGATGGTTGCTGCTGTACGCTTGGTAGCCCAAGCGAGTGTCATTGCGTTTTGCCGGGTGGAAAAAAAGTTTCCACAGGTGTTAAGTGGAGATGGGAACTGTATTGCTACACTGGCTGTGCTTCGCACTGTGTACCTGCAACAGACTGTCATTCGCATTGCTAACAATCATTGATATTTCATTTTATCTATATATATATATAAAAGGAAGTTTGTTTCTTTGCCTGCTATGCATTCAGTCCCTGTAATAGCTATCGGCGTGAAACTTTCCACGATGCTTCCATGAGCCCTAAGGAAGGTCGACATCTACTTTGTTCAGAGAACAAATGAACCAGACGTTTGCTACAGGCAATCTATGAGACTGACCAATACGATTGCAGGATTTCAAAAGCCAGTGAAATCAATAGCGAAGGCGGCCGAAGGCCGTCTGAGTGCTCATAGACAACAATCCACGTGCTTTCTACGCCTATGGTTGTTCTGTGCATGCTACAGATAATCTGCGAAACTCACCAATCGCGTTACAGGATCTCAAAAGATTAAGATAAACGTTGAAGGTGGGTGAACTCGAAGGATATACGGTACGAAATGATGTGAGAGTGAGAAAGAGGTCGATGAATGAATAGCTGGAGTGGAAAATGAGTATCAGAGAAAGAGAAAATTTTCATAATTTATGAAGCAGAGATTAGCTTCGGTAACTCTTTTGCATGAAGAGATATAGCCGAAACTGCCAGTTTATGCGATGTACGGCGGGAAAAATGAGGACTGGAACCGTAGAAATTTGAATTATATTGATTTTATATCTGTTATAGCTCTTCAACACGTGAGATGTTCGACATAGATATTCTTTATTTGCAGCGGGTATCCCCTCTAGTGATATATAGTTAAACAATTGTTATGTATTACACAAAGAGTCAATCCAGTCAATGACTGATCTACAGGAATGTTTCATCGACATCTTCCAATTTACTAGCAACTTCATTTAGAAGTTCTGCAATCTTCTCACTCAAGATATCATAGTCATTGGAAATCGTCAGACCGATAAAAGGTAACCAGGCTTTGTGTTTTTTGCATTGATGTCTTTTGCTTCGAACACGTAATTTGC